CATTCAACTTACTAAATAAATCCTCTGTGATGGGTAAGGGGTATAAATGGTCCTGTAGTGCTTTGTTTAACCCAGTGGAGAAGTCTCCACATACACGTAACTTACCATCAGACTTCCTTACAACCACTAATGGTGTTGCCGATGCAGAATAATTTACAGGAGAAATAACCCCAGAACTCTGTTGTCTGTCAAGTTCTGCATCCAAGGCATCGGTAATCAAATAAGGTACAGGTCTCCTGGGAAGGAACACAGGTTTTGCTTCCTGTTGAACATACATACGAGCCTTTACTTTATACGGTTAATATTCCCGACCCTGTCCACGGAGATTGGTGTGTGTCGGGCCTTTGGTTCGGCGTGCGCCCAGCGCGGTAACGCAACCGACCTCGGATACGTCGGCGAGAGTTCTGGGAAGAGTTCTCTTTTCTTTGTTAGGAGTGCATCCACCCCCTGGAATCGGCTTGTCCGGAGATAGGGGGCAATTTATCCTCAAAAATATCTGAAAACTTATCACGCAATTCTTTAACACATAAACGAATAAAGTCACTTGACAGCGATCATGGTACTGGTGAATTAATCATATTGCAGACAGTGCTCAACGGAAAGTCCAATAAACCAAATCTATCAATCTAATCAATACCCAATAGGTTGGTAATGACAGATCCCAGATACATAACATTTTCCGGTCATAGTCTTTTCACCTAGTGTGAGAGGTAGCTGTATTACTCCAAGAAGAGTCATATTAGTTCCTGATGCACTCTTGGCATTCTAACATGTAGGTTGATATCGGGGTCGACCAATTTTAATCCAAGTTTCTCTAGAAATTAATGTTATGTCAGACCCAGTATCGACTTGCAATTTGACCGATTTGCCATCGAAAAAGATGGTTACATACTTCCTTTTGGATAAGAATTGGTCACTTTTTGTGGCCAGAACAACATTTGAGTTATACGGCGTTACTTTTGAAGTCTGCATCTTATTTCCTTTACGGAACTTATGCTGACGGTCAGAAACCTTTGGCCTACTTTTACATGACCATATTTATCGCATTGAAAGCATACTCGTTTTTTAAAGTAACAAACTTTGGCAGAATGAGACTTACCACATCGCCAACATGACGTTTTGTGTTTCACTTGATTTAAGATATTCTGGGAGTTCGAATTTTTATTTCCATTAAAAGATTTACGTAAAGCTTTAACTCCAACGTGTTCACTGTTCCTTTCTACGAGATTCGTGTCATGCTTCAAATTAACCATTCTTTGACATTCTTCAGATACTGATTGTAGACTGATATTAGGATGTTGTTCGATTCTCGCTAGAATCCGTGTTCTAATATCTGCATCTACTGAAGATTGTAATCCACATACAAAAATAAGGCACTTGAATTGATCTGAGGACATTTCTTGTAAACGGAACCGTTCACATTCCCGGTTCACGATACTTGCATGCGTTACATAATCGTCCTGTACTTTCTTTACAAGTTGAAGACACTGGTATCTAGTGTGAAAAATTGATGACCGTTCTCCAAATATACGAGTCAGGCATTCAACTGTTTTCTTTGAACGTTATGTCGGTTGGCTTTTTTGGGAGGATAAAATTACAGAACTTTTCATGTTCGGACACTCCAAGCTTTCTTAATAATAATCTCAGTTTTGAACTTTCGTCCCACTCTTCACATTCATTAATAAATAAATCCTCATGGCGTTTAAACCACGCGTCAAAAGTAACTCCACTTTCTGGATCAAATCTAAATCCAGTTATTGAATTTGCAATAGAATCCGGAGTCATAGTGGAATTAGACACATTTGTTCTTGAGGATATTGACATATTTTTGATTAATAGTTCGATTAAAGAATTTTGCTGTTGCAACAAGGTTTTCAGACCATCCATTTTGTTGTTACAAAATTCTCTTTAACTGAATATGTAAGCGTAGATCCGTTTTAATTACCGTCGCCAATTGTTATAAACGTAGAAGAGAGTATACTGATTATAACAGTCCTTTCACTTCTTACACGTATGTGGGACGTTAATTTATCTTAGACGAATATCTACACTAGATTCCCACCCAGTGTCTATTCTACAGGGTATCAACACAACTCAGATCAAGAACACGAGATTAGCCTGACTACAACGTCAATATATTTCCACACCAAAATCCGACACAAAGAACAGTCAATCAATAACAGTCCATCAATATGTGTCCAACAACAAGAAACAGTCCATACATAATAAGGATAGGGGAATATATATAACACCTGTCATCCTATCTAATGTCTGACTCATCAAGACAACCAATCATTGTCATTCTCGCCCACACATCAGGTACATTATTCCTTTACCATCCTAAATTATACTCAGTCTACTGTTTATTTACTCATAATAATGATAGAAAAATTCTTTCCATCTTTTCACTCAAATGTCGTATTAAGGGAGTTCATGTAGGTATACATATTCCACCATCTACGTTCTATGTTTGTTCATAACAAAAATATCGAGATTGGATTTGTATGACCTTTAATAATCTTCAGGTCGAAAGAGCACTTCCTCCTACAATTCCAACTGCCAGTATATTTTGCGAATCAATGGAATTAATTGTAGTTATCTTGGTTGTCAAGACTAGTGAGATTTTATTAATCTCAAGGTGCTAACTTCTGCATTGTATGTGACTTTTTTTGCATAACCAAAAAATAGTTACATCATATTAGCCTAGGTTAGGTTGATATGTTTGTAGATCTCTTGAGATTAAGATGATTACGTGCGTTGGTATAATAAACTAAATCTCGCTAAACAACAAGTTATTCTGTCACAAGTGTACGATAAATTTATATGATAGACTAGACAAACCCTTAGTCGAAATTGGACTTCTAGACCACTCTGCATATTCACTTAACATTTGGACAGACGGTTTATCGTAATTAGATCTGAAAAATGACATTTATCTACAAAAGTCACTTCCAAGTTATTTTTGCACCCATTTCCATTTTATTAGCTTCTACTTGCCGGAGATGCTGCGGGGATCGTCTTTAAGTTATCTGATTTCGGGCGTGCATCACGTGCTGGGGAAGATCGTGATGGCGAAGATTTAGGTGATGGGCGCTATCTCCCAAGACTAAACGATCCTAGTCCACCTGCCAGAGCCGCCACTGGACGGGACCTCTATGCACTGGGAATAACGCTTTATCATTCGGTGAGTCAGCTGTTGTGGACATTCTGGTTGTGTTCCTTGCTAACTGAACTGCTTCTGTCATTATCACTATTGTTTAATTCTCATACACTAATTTCTGTTCGTTTTTGTTTTCCTTTTTCTTATACGCACTTTAGATTCTCTATCCCTTGACAGCCTCATTGTTATTGTGTGGCACATATGTGTCTGGTGCCTCCTTTTACAAATAGTTATGTGTTCAAATAAATAAACTTAGCGTAGGTCCTGGAACATACATTAGTTCACGTTGGCATACCATAGTCACAGTGGGATGAAATTTCTGGGCCTCGTCTGTCCTCCATCCAACCTATTACTACACAAGTTATCATCACTTATCTACTTATTCATTAGATTGGCGTACGTAATACATATCCTAACTACCTCATACGCAAACATTCATCACCTCGTCAATCGATTTGTCATCCTTACCTAGTTCCTCTGCGTGTAACATCAGGATTGCGTACTCGGTAGTCTCAAAATATACGAGCATTGCTTCGAAGACACTAATGATCGAATACTAGTAACATACGAATACAATATTTCTTATATTTCAAGCCCTCATTTTATAGCCATAAAGCAGAACGAAGCAAACTAGCGCTGATTTTATTCGTCCTTTAGATGACAGACAGATACCTTGCCTACTTCACAGGTGACGCAAGTTTGCTAAGGTCAACCGAGCTTTCTGAATTCTTGCCAAGATCTCACCAGACACTAACCCATTGGGGTCGATGAGCTCAACTACTTCACTCTCAACCATTAGTTCAGGCGTTGATGCGGATCAGTCTTCAAACATTTTCGTTATACTGCCTGGTGGATTAAACCTCTGGGCTATTGGCTTGATGTGTGTCGCCCCCTAAGAAAGGAACCTGGTTCGATTTGGGCGACAGAGCAATATTCAATCCCTCACACAAATCGGTTTCATTGTTATTATGTGACGCATACGTATTTGGTGCCTTCTTGTATCAATGTTTATGTGTTTAAATAAATAAAGGTTGAGACCACCAAATGAACAATGCTGAGGTAGCGTGTAGTGTACTGTATAATTGTAGGAAGTCAGTTAGTGATGTACTGAGTCTTCATCAAATGACCTGGTCGATGTATACGTTATGTATGCCTAAACACCGCCCACCACGCCGGCAATAGCTGGTATAAGAGTAGATCGGAAGAAAGGTAGGAGCGAACGATGTAGCCATAGAATCATTACATAAACTTACTGACTACTGGACTGAGGGATGTAGGTATGCGTTAACTATTTGTGCGACTTTCATAACCTGTGGTTAGATATTGAGTAACATGGCTAACGACCATACACATTAGCGCAGATATATTCATTCTTCATAGACGTTTAGTCCCTAAATCTTTTCTCTTTCTCTACAGCTAATCTTTTCTTTCACTGCTGGTCCTGTTATCGATTTTAGCACTCAGGGATTTGTCTAGATATTTTTATCTCGCTGTGTGTATAGTCTGACAACTTGAATTGACACAAACACGTGTTATATTCCACGCTGCATTGGAAAAACTGAATATTCCTAACGTTAATATCTCAAAATTGTGGAAATTTCGCCTGTAGCCGTCTAAGGCATACTACCGGTCCCAAGCCCAGACAAAGGAGAAGGGTTGGCATGTGGTCAGCAACCCCATTCCGTAGAACACAACCTTGTTAGAAAAACACTAATCAGAAAAAACAATCTAAGCTATTAGAACCCTGCTCTGGGAGTTGAAGGATCTTCGTTTACAAGGATAATTACGCCTCATGATGAAACCCGAAAAATTCATCGTAAGTCAACAAGCTGATGTCCTTTCTAACAACCAGAGCAACAATTAACATAGGTAAATGGAATGTTCGGACAATGTGGTAGACCGGGAGCACCAGTCAAACAGCTGTGAAAATGAGGAGACACAACTTAGAGATGTTCAGAATAAGCGAAACCCATTGGACACAAGCTGAACAGAAAAAACTAGCCTCGGTGGATGTGCTGTTGTACTCTGGTCATGAAGAAGAAAATGCTCCGCACACACAAGGAGTTGCACAAATGCTGTCCAAAGAAGTACATAAAGCATTTGCCGGATGGGAATCTTATGAATCCAGAATCATCAGCGCATCCTTCGGAACAAAGGAGGGGATTACTAGGAGTGTCATCCAATGCTATGCACCCACCAATGATAGGAACGACGACGATAAAGATCAGATTTATGAGGTGCTGCAGTCGACCGTAGAGAAGTGCTCAGAAAAGGAACTGACCATTCTGATGGAAGACCTAGATGCGAAAGTCGGAATTGACAACACCGAAGGAGTTGCACAGATGCTGTCTAAAGAAATACATAAAGCATTTACCGGATGGGAATCTCATGAATCCAGAATCATCAGCGCATTCTTCAGAACAGTGTTGTGGAATCAGACGATGTAGAAAGTTTTACCTACTTTAGCAGCATCATCAATTAAAAGTAGGATTTGATGCAGATGTGAAGGCACGTATTGTCAAAGCAAGGGCAGCGTTCTTGCAATTGCAGAACATATGGACCTCAGAATAACTGTCAGACAACATTGAAATCAGAATCTTCTATTCGAACGTCAAGACAGTCCTACTGTACGGAGCTGAAACTTGGCGAACTACTACAACCATCAAAAAAGGACAAGTATTTATCAACAGTTGTGTACGCAAGATACTGAATGTCCGTTGACCGAATATCATACGCGACAACCTGCTGTAGGAAAAAACAAACCGACTCCCAACTAAACAGGAAATCAGGAAAAGACGTCGGGGGTGGATAGGATATATATTAAAGAGATCGAACTGCATCACGAGACAAGCCCTAACTGAGAGTCCTGAAGCGAAAAGGGAAAGAGGAAGTTGAAGGAACACATTGTGTTTCGGGCATAGGAAGCAGACACCAAAGGTATGAATGGCAACTGGGAATAAGAGTCCAGGACGAAGTTGGAGAATCTTTGTCGGGGGCCTACGCTCCACGAGGAGTACCAGGCATAGGTAAGTAAGTCAATCCAGACAACACAGTTTTTTAAAGAATAACCTAAAATAATACCATTTAATTTTCTCTATGGAACAATAGTTTTCAGAACTTCTGATTTAAAGTCGTTGGGCTTCTTGAACTGCTTGTAAAATCCACTGGCTCATGGGTTGTTTGCGTTCGTTGTCGAAAGAGAGTTCAAATTGGTGTCTTTACACTTTGCTTTGAATAATTGGGAACGTGGTCGTTAAACTTGTTTGTAATTAACAATTTCACTGAGAACTAGTAACTGAAAGCTATCTACTGAGACGTCCGTAGATTGCTAATAGCTATAATCATACTTGGTATATAATACCCATTTAAACATTAAAATTCAAAACACGAAGTTCAGCGAAGTGATCTCTTTTCAACGAATTTATTATCAAGCTGTACAATCGTATATATATGAAAATGTTTTATTAAAGTACTGATTCCATGAGGTAATGTGAACACTAATAACCAAGATTATAATAAGATGATTAAAATGAATAAGATGTTTTGGATACAATAATTAAAGGTCATAGAGGTGTAAAAAATAAATACGATGATCTGATGAGTATTCATGAATAAAATAATGAGAGTATAAAATATAAGTGAAGGGGAAATGGAGTAATAATAATAGCGCTCGCTTTCAACTCGGATACGAGAACATATTCCAGTTTGGTTCTACAAAGGTGAAAAGAAAGTAGTTAAGAGCTCTATACTTGAACACCTAATCGACTGTAATCATTCTACGGATCCACAGTCTGATTTTAAGGTTGTTTATATGGTTCATTCAAATCTACCCAGATCCCTTCGTATCAAACTCTTAAAAATAGCCGAAGATCTTACCATCCATGAGCTCAAACCAGAACTATGCGTACAAAAGAAGTACGTCTTATCATTATCGTTACCATGGCCTTAATATTATTATTATTATCATCATTCTTTTAATATTATTGTTATTACTCCATTTCCCCTTTACTTATATTTTATATTCTCATTATTTTATTCATGAATATTCATCATATCATCTTATTTATTTTTACACCTCTATGACCTTTAATGACCTTTAATTGTTGTAACCAAAGCATTTTATTCATTTTAATCATCTTATTATAATCTTAGTTATTAGTGTTCACATTTCCTCACGGAATTAGTACATTAATAAAACATTTTCATATATATGCGATTGTACAGCTTGATAATAAATTCGTTGAAAAGAGATCCCTTAGCTGAACTTCGTGTTTTTAATTATAATCATACTGTTATAAAGTATGGATACGAACATTGTTAGTCTCGTTGATTTTGAACCACGACATTGTTCGCGTTTAAAGATTTATTTACATAGTTATCAGTCCTCATTAAAAAGTCTCCTAATCCCCTGGTGTAATCGAAATGCTGTCATTCGTTCACGCATTTATAGCCTTTTCCTAGGTTATTCTACCCACTGTCCTCCCGTGATGAGAGTCAGTCACAACGTAGAACTTCGTACGTACGTACATCAGTTCGAGTTGCCATACCACATTAGCACAGAGATGCAGTTGTCGATTCAATTCCCATAGTGGTAGAAGTAGTAGGAGTATAATCAGAAATCCAAAAGATTAGGGTTTGAAGAAATTATTGAAGGAGTATAGTACAGTGAAATAAATTTGGAAAGAGAAAAAGATAAAGACATGAGGAATGCAGAAGATTAGAATTTGGTAGAACACAAAGAGTGGATGCATCTTCGCCATTGCAAACGATTTTGAGCCATGTCATTCAAGGTCTCTAACCATCGGTTGCTGTCATCTCGCGAATCCCAACCAGGTAGTCTACACCTACCAACATGGCCCAGTCCACTTGTCAGTGACTTCATTGATTTGTGCCACGTTTTGGTCTGGACACCCCTAGCTTTCTTCCAACCTACTCCTACACCATGAAACTTTGCACGTCGGGACAGTCGGTGGTCGAGCATACGTAACACATGTCCCAGCCATCTCAACTGATGAAGTTTCACTACTTCATCAATCGATTTGCCATCCCTACCTAGTACTCGTTTCCTAACAACTGCATTACTTACCCGGTGGTCCCAGGATATACGAGCAATGCTTCGAAGACACCTATGATCGAACACTAGTAGCCTACGAATATCCTCTACTCTTACCGGCCATGTTTCACTGCCATAAAGTAGGACGGAGCGAACTGCTGCACAGTAAACCCGTCCTTTGGTTGCTAGACGGATATCGCGCCTACGCCATAAATGACGCAAGTTGGCGAAAGCTAGACGAGCCTTCTGTATCCGTGCTGAGATTTCGTCACATACCAGACCACAAGGGCTGATGAGACTCCCAAGATAAGTGAAGCAGTCAACACGCTCAACTACTTCATGCCCTATCATTGGTTCAGGTGTCGATGCAACCCAATCCTGAAGTAACATTTTGCACTTCGAGGGAGAGAATCGCATTCCGAACATGCCTGCATAGTTGCTTATAGTGGTCAGAAGACTCTGCATTTTGTCAGCGTCTTCACCGAGTAAAACTATGTCGTCGGCGTATTCTAGGTCAACAAGTGAATCTCCCGGTAAAAGTTCAACTCCTGGAGGTTTAGCTGATGAAAGTGCTATCTCTAAAAGTATGTCAATGACAAAGTTAAACAAGAATGGGGAGAGTGGACAGCCCTGACGAACGCCACTTGTGGTAATCAGTTCTGATGACAGTTCGCCATAGGCTCTAACTCGACCAGTTGTGTTCGGGTAGAGAGCCTTTATGAGGTTAATGTACTTCTTTGGTACTCCTTTCAGTGACAAACATTGCCATAGAACCTCACGATCAACAGAGTCAAATGCCACCTTAAGGTCAAGAAATACTACGATTGTGGGACGTCTGAATTTGTGTCTATGTTCTAGAACCTGACGTAGGGTGAATATCTGGTCTATGCAACCACGTCCAGGTCGAAAACCAGTCTGGTTTTCTCTAGTCTGCTCGTCACGAGCTTTGGTTAGGCGACCTAGTATTATTGAAGCTAATATTTTAGACACTATATTAGTCAAACTGATCCCTCTGTGATTGTCACAGGAGGACTTTTGTCCTTTCTTATAGACTGACACAATCAGTGATTGGGACCAGTCAGATGGAATTACGTCCAGTTCCCAGATTCTACCTAAGACCTCAGTCAATCTCACTGCTAGTACTGGACCACCATCCTTAAAAATCTCAGGGGTCAACCTGTCAGGGCCTGCTGCTCTCCCTCGCTTCAGATTTCCTATAGCTTTTTCAACCTCACAGAGGGTTGGAGGACTTACATCAATTTGCCATTCAGGACGACTGGGGATCGTGGGTAATTGAAGTGTGACTGAAGGCCAGTTGAACTGATCCCTAAAGTGTTCTGCCCATCGATCCAACCTCCTGGATTGAGAATGAATAATATGCCCATCTTTATCTGAGATGGTTTCACTGATATTCGGGTTCCTAATACCGGTTTCTTTAACGAGTCTGAATAGCTGCCTACTGTTACCTATTGCCGCTGCCTTTTCCATCTCTCTTGCTTTCGCTACCCACCACTGTTCACGATCATTACGTAGACTTCTTACAAGCCTGCGCTTAAGTTGACTCCGCTCTTCGTTATGCTCAGAGCCAGGTGGGATGAGATTACGAGCATCTATCAGTGCGATAGATGCTGCCGAGATCCATTGTTTCTCCCTAACGTTATGGTTTACCTTATTAGCGGATATCACTGCTGTTTCCACAGCTTTTCGGATGTCATTCCACGCTGCCTCAGGGTGGACACAACTTACATGGCTGCCTAACTGTTTTTCCAGTTGTTCCTGAAATATATTCTTAGCTTGCCTATCATTAAGTAGAACCCTTAGAGGCTTCCCTGCAGTGTCTTTCCTACGACCAGTAAGACGCAGACAGATACGTGCTCGCACTAGAGCATGATCTGAATCTAAGCATGTGCCCCAGAATGAGCGACAGTCTTCTATCGAGCCCCTCCATCGGTGGCTGATAGCGATGTGATCTAATTGGGTCCAACGTTGGGACGAATTCGGGGGTCGCCATGTCAAAAGATGTTTTTCCTTATGCTTAAAGTTAGTATTTGCAAGAAATAGGCGGTTATCTGAGCATAGCTGCAACAGACGGTCGCCATTATCTGTTCTTTTCGCCATGACACCATAAGATCCACCCAGGTGTCTTTCCCTTTCACTTAGTTTACCTACTTGAGCATTAAAGTCACCTGCTACTATTACTACATCAGAACGCCTAGCTTCTCGGAGAAGGTCAGAAAGTTTCCTGTAGAACTCATCTTTTATATCGTCTGAGCTGCAGTCAGTGGGAGAGTAGGCAGAGACGACGAAGAGGCAACGACGAGTTTCCCTATCTTTCCGGGTCCTTACTGATCCGTTTAGTCGGACAGCGCATAGACGACTGTCTACTGGGATCCAGTCTAAAAGAGCTAGTTCTGCCCTAGGACTTAATGCTATACCTACTCCAGCGAGGCCACGGGAAGCAGCGTCAGGGCTTCCAGATACACGAAGCGTGTATCGAGATGAAACTTTATTTTGATTAGGTGCGGTCAAATGAATGACACTACTCGGATCTTGTATGCGCGTTTCGGAGACGCAGC